CCGGCGGCTGGCAGTGGGCACAGGCTCCCCGGTGCCCGCCCCTCCGCCGGGAGGGGGGCGCGAGCGGGCGGCCGGGGAGGGGCCGGTGCGGCCGCTGCAAAATGAGCCTGCTGTCGGCCATCGACACGAGCGCCGCCTCGGTGTACCAGCCGGCCCAGCTGCTCAACTGGGTCTACCTGTCGCTGCAGGACACGCACCAGGCCAGCGCCTTCGATGCCTTCCGGCCTGAGCCGCCCGCCGGCGCCGCGCCCCCGGAGCTGAGCTTCGGCAAGGGCCGTCCGGAGCAGCTGGGCTCGCCTCTGCACTCCAGCTATCTCAACAGCTTCTTACAGCTGCAGCGCGGAGAGGTGGGTGCCCCGCGCGCTCCCGCCCCGTGCCCCGGCCCACTCTGCTAGATCCAACGCCCGGGGTCCCTAGGGCGTCCCCCGGAGCGTGGCACCTCCAGGCCCAGCGCAGCTCAGGCCCGGCCAGGGCCCGCCCGCCCCCTCTCCCAACCCGGGAGCCCTGCTCAAAGAAGGTTGAGAGGCGGGGGTGTCTCTGGATTCCCTCCAGACAGTAGGGGTGCGGCCAGGGTGGGGAGCCCCTTCCAACTATCTTTCCCTCACCCAGCGCTATCCGCCTCCTGGTCACTGCTCACTGGGACCCAGAGGGCAGATTCTACTCTCAGCTCCTCGAGAAGGACCTCTAATCTTTTCTCCACCGACTTCTACCGCTCCTGACCCGAAAAGTGTCTTGGAGAGCCAGGACTGGCCCAGAGTACTGCCCCTGCTGTTCTCACACAGTGACCCCCGCATTGGCGGTCCAGCTGTTTGCCCTCCCCCAGCCACATAGGAAGTGGTTTTTGAGGGCTTGACCCACAGACTGCGCTGTCCCCTGCCCTCCCAGCCTGGAAGGAAATGAAAGGGAAATCCTTACAGCTCTGTGGAGGGGGGACCAAATAGGGGGAGCGGTTCCAGCTGCCCAGGCCTTCTGAAACCTGGGTCGCCTGTGTCGCCAAGTTGGCCTGGTTGGGGGATTCAGTTACAAAGTCTACGGGGCAGTGCCTCTTTCCAGCTAGATAAATACCCAGAGGGCCCTGACCTCTCAGCCCCTGCAAGCAGCTTCTCTGAGCCCTTCCAGGTGCCATTCCTCTCTGCCTTGAGCTGGACCCCTTCCTCCTGCACCCCACCTGCTCCAGTCCCATTTGGGAACAGCAGACACCCTATGCTTTCCTCTGACTTCCTTTGTGGGGCTTTCTCTGCCAGGGTGCAAGCAGAGCCAGGGTCCAGGGCTGGGGAGTGGGGACAGCCTATGTATGCAAGCTGGGTTGGGGTTGTGTGTTGGAGGCCATGGGTTGCCCTTTCTGGCCTCATCAGTATGCTCAACTCTGCCCTTATTTACTGGAGGATTCGTGGACATCTAAAACGCTGGCCCAAGGCCCACACCTCCAGCAGTCTTGTTGACCCGTGTGGGTGGCAGTAGTGGGGGAAGCTGGCATGGTAGAGGGATGTGGGTCTGGAAAGGTTCCCTTCAGGGCCAGGCAAAAACATCTGTATGCCAATGCTCTTTGTAAACTGTAGAGCACCCGCTCCGAATGAGGAATGGTTCTTAGTTGGAGATCTTTCCTTCTTGTAAAAGGCCTTGCTGCCTCTTCAGAGAGCTGGCTTCAGGTGATCCTGGCTTTGGAGGACAGTTCGTGGAGTGTGTCTTCCGTGGCTGCGTCTCTCTCCCCGGTTGTTTATTCTTTCACTAAACATTTGTTGAGTGCTGTGTGGGCCCCTGGAGCTTGGCAGCCACAGCTACGGCCCCAGACCATAGGCCAGCAAAGCAGTATGTATGAATGTAGTGCCTGCATGGGGCTGCCGTGATGTGGGTGTTGGGAAAGTGGGTGACTGGATCAGTGCACCCCAGTGAGAGGAGACTGTGACTCACAGGTCAGGTGGGGTCCCTAATCAGCCTCTGCCAGCCTTCCATTGCGCCCACCCTGTGGTGGTTGACCCATAAGTGGGTCTCTACTACGAAATGCTGGCCCTAGGGGCCAGCAGGAGTCCCCTGAGTGAGTAGGCTGTTGTCTTTTCCTGGAAATGTCTGGCCTCCGGGATCCTAGCTGTGGCTCAGACTGATCTTCTGTCACTTGGTTGCTCTGTGCCTCAGTTTCCCCATGAGGGGGACACTGTGTGGAAGGAGCAGGTAAAGATTATCTGCAGCAGTGGTCTCTCATGGTCTGACTTCAGCAACTCCCATCTCTGCCTGGGCCGCAGTTGGCCTGTGTGTTCAGTCTCTTCCCTGCCATCCCTCAGGGTGTTCTGTCTGGGCCGAAGGCTTCTCCTAACGAGAAAGGATGTGCCTGCTTCCAGGCTGGGCTGGGGGAGACACAAGGGGGCTTCTCTTCTGCTCACAGGGCAGTGGCTTCCTTGGAGGGCTGGCTTTTGACTTCCGGAAGCCTGTCTGGGCCTCAGCGTCCCCCCCCAAACCCCCAGCCCAGATCCCCAGCTGTCTCTTGGGGACAGGCCTCTCCTGCATTCAGGGCTTAGCTGGTGACCTGATATGGCTCCAAAATAGCAACTGGCTGAGAAGGCAAGAAGAAATCCCCCCATCTCAGCATCACCAGGGGGCTGGCTGGAGTGGCAGCAAGTCCTGTGTGGCTGGAGGGAACTCCACAAAGGGCCCGGGGCCCAGGAGTTCTGCCATTCTGCTCGAGGCCCAGCAGACCAGTGGCAGCGCCCGTGGATGTGACTCGCATGCTGACTGCTGACCACGGCCGCCTGTGCCAGCCCCTGTGCCAAGAGCCCACCCCCTGCTGCCCCACCCCCAGACTGCTCCCACCACAATAGCAAAACACCATGAATGCAGCTGGCACTGGGGGGAGGTGAGGACATGGGGGCACAGAAGCCCATTGTGCCCCTGGAACCTCGGCTGCTCTGAGCAGGGAGGGCGATGGCAGTGTCCACATACAAATGCAAGAGCAGGCACCAGGAGGTGACTTATAAATGGCCAAGGGCCTCTTATGGAGTTTCTTAAAAGATACTGAAGCCCTGTAACCCCCACTTTTGGAAACCCAGTGTGTTGGAGGGAGGCTTCTGGGGCCCTTGCCTGAGTGCTCCTTCTCCTCAGAACTCCAAGAAAGTTGGATCTTAGGAGGAGTTGGGGCTGGGCTTTGAGATGTCTTCCCCACCAAGTTCTGTTTAGAATTTAAATTTGCAGCAGTGTGGGGTCTGTGGGTTCTCACCTCTGGAAAAAGCAGTTATGCAGGGTGAGGGAGATAGCTCAATGGTCTAAGCACCTGCCTAGAAAGCACAAGGACCCTGGTTTGTTCCCCAGTACCACATGCTGTGCTGGCCCTGAAACCAGGCATGGTAGTGCATACCTGTAATCCACTGAAACCAGGCATGGTAGTGCATACCTGTAATCCCAGTGCTGGAGAGGCTGAGACAAGAGCATCACTAGGAGTCCAAGCTGTGTAGCTGTGTGTATTATTTAGAGACCCTGTACTAAATAACAAAAAAAAAAAGCAGTTATACATTATCTCCTGGCCCTGAGAGATGCACAGACTTTACTTCAGCCCCTCCCCCCAGGGAGATGGAGCCAGCCCACTTCTTGTATGAGGCCTGCTTAGGTCTCACTATATAGCCCAGGCCAGCCTGGAACTCCCAGTGATCTTCCTGTCTCAGCCTCCCAAGTGTTGGGATAACGGGCGTGAACCACTGTGTCTGGCATTAGGTAGGCTCCTAGGGGAGCTGTCTGCTTTCCCTTTTCCTCCTGGACAGAAGTACCTGGAAGGGTGGCCCTTCCATCAAGTGACCTCTACTCTGTGGCTTTGGGGTCACACAGGTTGGGAATGCACAGCGTATCATCTTTTCCTTGTGTTCAGATAATGCCAGCGAGCACAGTGAAGGCTCTGAGTGGGCTGGGGAGATAGCTTGGCGGTCTCAGCACCTGCCCGGCAAGCGCAAGAACCTGAGTTTGATACTTGGTACTGCATGCCATGCCGGCTCCGAAACTGGGTGTGGTGGCACCCACCTGTAATCCTAGCGCTGGGGAGGCTGAGACAGGAGGATCACTAATAGTCTGAACTGTGTAATGAGACCCTGTATCAAATTAAAAAAAAAGAATTTAAAATAATAAATTTAAAAAAGACTCTGAGAAGTCCTGCAGAATAGGACATGTCCCCTGGTCTTCAGCCCCACTTGGTACCAGACATGTGCCAGGGTTTGTCAGGCCCAGCGGTGCTCCCAGAGTCAGCGCTGCCCTTGTGGGCTAACTCCACTTTTAGGGAGCTGTTTTTGGAGTCCACTGCTGGTCCTGCCTTATCTCCAGCAGCACCGCAGACCCCCTTCTCTGTCACATGGCCCAGTCACTGGAGATGTGGGGACAGCAGCCAGGGTACTGAGGGGCTTGACAGCCACCTACTGGGGTCTTCTATGCACACAGAGCCCTGAGAGCAGGACCTGTGGGCCTTACTTTCCAAGATCCCATCTGGACAGTACTGGACTTGGCTTGGCCTTTGTCCCCTTATGAGCTAAAGGGCTGCCAGGATGGGTGTGTGGAACAAGGCCATCTTCTCCATGAGGATGGGTGTGTGCCTGGCAGTGCTACAAGTGACCTCCAGGGACTGCGGCTATGATATGCGTGGGGCAGGGAGATGGCCCCAGGGTCTGAAAGGAATGGCCTTTTCCTGTTCAGCCAGCAGTTGGGAAAGATGCCCCAGCCCTCTTAGGAGGCCAGTGGCTGACTCAGTTGAGCATGGTGTTCGCTGAGGCAGCCTGCCCTCCCTCCATCACTATAAGTTTTCCTGGGCCGGTACAGGCATGGAGGGAGGCCAGGCCCTGAGGACCCGCTGAGTCAGTGGGGAGAGAAGGAGAGGCGGGTGGTGTTAGTGGTTAGTAATCAGCAGTGGCCACGACCCAGACGCTGCAGCACGGGAGGTGGGCGCAGCCCACGGAGAGGGTGGCCATGAGTGGCCGTTGAAGACTCCTGGTGCCCTGTAGCTGTTGGTATCACTTTCCTCATAGCTGCCTTTTACAGCAGGCAACACAGAGGCCTGTCAGGTCCATCACCTGCAGGACAGCGGCATGGCCAGGTCTCAGGCTCCTCTGTGTCCAGCACTGTCTCTATGGTGGCTTGTCCAGCTGTTGGTCTCCAGCTCAGGTCTTACCTCAGTCCTCCTCTGACCCCCCGTGCAAGGCAGGCAGGAGCCACAAGCTGCCTGGCACACTGCAGGGCCCCTGGCAGGTTCTCCCAGACCCCAAGCCCCGTGAGGACCTCTGGGCATTTGTCGTGGTACGGGGTACCGCGCTCCTGCTTGGGTTGGCCCGGTTTGGGAGAGGCAGAGAAGCACACTGCGTATTTCCTAGTGTTGGCTTCCCAT